TCCCGCCGAGACGGTCAAGCAGCTGGTGGACTTCATGTACAGCGGCTCGCTGGTGGTGCTCCACTCGCAGGCGCTCTGCATCCTCACCGCCGCCTCCATCCTGCAGATCAAGACCGTGATCGACGAGTGCACGCAGATCATCTCGCAGAGACGCGCCGCCGTGGCAGGAGCCGGGCCTCTAGGGAGCGCGCTGCCCAAACAGGAGGAGGGGAAAGAGCGGGAGAACGCGGCGCTGCAGGGCTTCGCTTACGGCATGAGCGGGGACTGCGGCTCAGACATGGCAGCCGTGCTGGTGGGCGGAGCTCAGGGGGAGGGGGGCGGAGTCAGCTCACTAATGGCCCTTGGCGAGGTCGGAGGTGGGGCCATGTGTAGAGGGGAGGGGCTGGGTGTGGCCGGGGGCGGGGCCATGCTGAAGCCCACCAGCTGCTCGCAGGAGATCAACTACATGCTGAACCCGGAGCGCGGTGTGAATGTGGGCGTGCAGAACATCGCCGCCAATGAGCGCGGTCACATGGGGTCTCCCAGCGGCATGGGCCTGGAGCTGGTGGAGCGATTCAACGGCGATGACGAGAGAGACGCGCATGACACGGACCGAGACCGACAGACGGCGCACACGCGCAAACAGAGACAGCCGCTGAGACTGCAGGTGACGAAACACACGGCTGTTAGCTCATCTGAGTGTGTTCTGTGATCCACACACACAGAAGCTGTATCTGGTGAGTGTTGCTGACTGTGTGCAGGTGCTGGCTGGAGAGCAGGTGGTGGTGAAGGATGAGGACGGTCTGTTTGAGATGGACGAGAGAGCAAACGCAGCGCATCAGCCCGCCTATGCACAGGTACATCTCAGAAAAGCCTTCTTTCACAGGAATATGGAGGATGCGTGAGGTGAATCTGTTGCTACAAATAGCCCACAATTCTTTGCATCGGCGCAAACATTAGTTTGAAAAAAACTTTTTTAAGCTGTATTACCTCAGTAGACAGATGAGTGAACAAGAGTTCAGTTCAGTT